CGGCCATGGACGGAACCGACGAAACGCGAGCCTGTCCGACGGATGCCCGGTGGCATGAGCCGCATTGATTGGTTGCCCAGTTGTGGATGAGGTGTGAACTATTGACGAACTTGAGTCGAATTAACCCAAAAGATGTTTGAAGTTGTCACTGACTCAGGCACGGTAGCATTGGACGCCAAAGGATCCAATGGAGTAGAGTCCTTAGCGATGGCGCTGATGTGGTGTCCAGCAACAACAAGCAAGATTTTGCGAGGCTGCGAGACCAGTGAGCCTAGCCCGCTGGCAGGAACTTGCCGAGATCGATCCGGAGACCTGGGCTCCACTGGAAGCTCCCTGTAACCTGTCCAACATGCCCTTGTCTTGCAGGCAATAACACTAACGCCGAGAGAATTCCGACAAGTAATTGCGAGGCTATCAGTTCCCAGCGCAATCAAACCTGGTAAGTAAGTGCGTCACAGTAGCAAGAAACAACAAATTAATGCATAGATAACTTCTTCGTTACCTGTGCCGTGTTTAAACTTTAGCATCCGCTGACACCTCTCTACAGGGATAAAACGAACGATGGCGTTCCCGTCGATGCCGAATCGAGTTGTTTTCCGAGCTCTACCGGCAGGCAATCGTTGCCATTGCCATGGACAACGCAGACGATCCAGAGGACTTTACGTAATCCTAGAACCGTCAGTGGCAGCTTTCTGCGCGTCGTTGCATCTCTTTCCTGGCGTGTCCGTTCAAGACTGGCCAATGGATGAAGGTATTGATGTCTGCTGACTGCGGCATTTTGTCCGCAATGGCTCAGATTGCCATCATCGATCGTCATGGGCGCTCTTTGTTCTCACCTATCACTATAAGGGGAACCGGCACGATCCCGGCAATATGCACGTTGCTCCGAGGATGACCCATAGAATGATGCGTGGCATCGCAAAAACATTCCGTTGCAGAGATTCAGCTACTGTCGCTTCGTAAGTACCCAGATCAGGGCGGTACACATGGGGATTACCATGTAGCATTGCAAGGGAGAGGCGGCGTGTTGCCACATGCTAAATCTGCCAATGAGCTCGATGGACATAGCAAAAACGACAGTCCTCGTAGAAAATGAACTACGAGAGCACCAAATTAGTTCAGGTCAAGGACGCGGGACCAATACTGGGCTAAAGAGCAGGAGATGACGCAAAAAGGTTGCTCTTGTAGTATGATGTTAACCATTCGACCAGAAAGGCCGTGTACCATGGGACAACTACCTGATACAAGTGCCTGATACAAGCACAGCCCCGTCAGACTCCAAGACTTCTCCGTTCCCAAACACGGGAAAGGTATAACACGTCCATCTCCACGGCTTCTCGACCACTCTTGTAGTACAAGACTCAAGCATCTCATTATCTAGTCACTTTCATCTGTTTTCAAAGCCTCACTCATCAACATCACTCACATCACATCACCATGTCTCGCCAGTACACTCTGGCTGAAGGCCAGCCTCAGCCCGCCAACAACACCAGCGTCCAGCTGCGCAATGGACTTGGTGGTGGCTATGTCCTGCTGCAGGATACGCAGCTCATTGAGACACTTGCTCACTTTTCCCGTGAACGCATCCCCGAGCGTGTTGTTCACGCCAAGGCAGCCGGCGGATACGGCGAGTTTGAGGTCACGCACGATGTCTCCGACTTGACATCGGCCGACTTCCTTTCCCAGGTTGGCAAGAAGACCAAAGTGCTTCTACGCGTGTCCACAGTCGGCCCAGAGCGCGGCTCGGCCGACACGACGCGTGACGTGCACGGCTGGGCCATGAAGCTGTACACGGACGAGGGAAACCTGGACTGGGTGTTCAACAACACGCCCGTCTTCTTTGTGCGCGACCCCATCAAGTTCCCGTCGCTCAACCGGTCGCACAAGCGGCACCCACGCACCAACATGCCGGACGCCAACATGTTTTGGGACTTCCACGTCGGCAATCCCGAGGGCATCCACCAGCTGATGCACCTGTTCAGTGACCGAGGCACGCCGCAGTCGATCCGCATGATGAACGCATACAGCGGCCACACGTACACGCTGCACAAGGCCGACGGCACGTTCAAGTACATTAAAGTGCACATCAAGACGAAACTGGGCGTCAAGAACATGGACGCCGCCGAGGCTACGCGTGTGGCGGGCGAGAACCCGGACCATCTCGTGCAGGACCTATTTGATGCCATTGAGGAGGGAAACTTCCCGCAGTGGGACATCTTTGTGCAGGTCATGGACCCCGCTAACGCCGAGACGTACCATGTGAATCCGTTTGATATGACCAAAGTGTGGCCGCACAAGGACTACCCGCTGCGTCCCATCGGCCGCCTGACACTCAACAAGAACCCTCGCAACTACTTTACGGACATTGAGCAGGCCGCTTTCTCGCCGTCCAACATGGTTCCGGGCTGGGGGGCGTCGGCCGATCCCAGTACGTTGGCTTGACACTGTCCACAAAGCACAATATATTCTCTCTGCTAACACAGCCTTTACCATCCAGTGCTCCAAGCTCGTATGTTTGCGTATCCCGATGCGGCCCGCTACCGCCTGGGTGTCAACTACCAGATGCTGCCGACCAACAAGACTGTGGCCCCCGTTTACGTGCCCACCGAGCGTGACGGCTTCATGAACTTTGGAGACAACTATGGCGACGACCCCAACTATGTCGGGTCTATGCTACGGCCCATGACGTTCAAGAAAAACGTGGTGGCGTCGGCGGCCGTGGCTGAAGCCAACGCCAAGCACCAGAAGTGGGCCCTCGAGATGGCCAGCCACTACACCTCCGAAATTGGTCCCAAGGACTTTGAGCAGGCCACGGCACTGTGGCATGTGCTGGGCCGCGAGCCGGGCCACCAGGACCGTTATGTGTCGAATGTCGCCGACAACGTCGCTGAAGTGACGGACGAAGCGCTGCGGAAGGAAGTGTATGCCCTGTATGGCAAGGTGGACAAGACGCTGGGCGAACGCATCCAGGCTGCCGTCGAGGCCAAGAGAGCCGCGACAAAGAAGTAAGTTGCAGGTGGCAACGGGCCTGTATACGCTTGACTGTCTATTAAATTGTTTTGACTTTTAAGAAAGAATAAAGGTGAAATATAGACTTCTGTGAAACACTGAAATAGTCTAAGGCTGGTAAAAGGCACAATTCCGAGAAACTCCGAGTGTATTTCGCCTCGTGCAATTTGCTCAGCAACACAACTTACCCAACTGCTTTCCTTAGCGTATGCCCAGCTCACCATACACTGCATCCAAACATTGACAGGTAGCAAAGTTCTGCATCTCCACTGAAATCGAAGAAATAAGTAAATAACTAGATACGTGTATCAAGATCAACGCTACCTTATCCATTAATCATCTCCTCCAATCTGGTCCAACATAGCCAGCGACGGCATGAAAAACACCGAGCCTGTGACGGCCGTCGAGTAATCCAGCAGCCGATCGTGTTTTCCTGGCGGGACACCGATGAACATGCGTTCCAGCATGCGTTCAATCACCCACAGTCTCCGCGAGTAGCCGATAAAGTAAGTACCATACTCGCCGGCGCCGGGCGACCCAAAGGGCATGTTGTCACGCAGAATGTCAAACTCAGCGCCCGTTTTGTCGTCCTCGATGGTGTTCAGGGTCTTGTGCGAGCGCTGGTCGTCGCCCGTGGCGTCGTCCAGCTCCATGTTGTCGAGCTTCGTGCGGCCAATGATGGCTTCTTGTTTTTCGGTGCCCAGGGCGCGCCAGTTGGGCATGGCGTGCAGGTACTTTTGGACAACAACGTAGCTGCCGCCGACAATGGCCACGCTGTTACCAGAGACGTCTTCGCCACTCACCAGGACGGCCTCCGTAACGTCGTCGCCCGTCGGATTGGCCGTGCCGTCGACGAACCCGAGCAGGTCGCGGTTGTCAAAGTAGCGGAAGCCGACGGTCTCGTCCACGACTTTGACGGCATCGCCCAGCTGGTCGAGCAGCTGCCGCTCGAGCTCGAAGCACATGTCGCGTCGCTCGGCGCGAATGTGAAACAGGACGTCTCCGGGTGTGCTGACGGCCGTGTGCTTGGCGCCTTTGACTTCCTTGAACGGGTGCAGCTCTGACGGCCGTGGCAGACGACCTCTCGTTACCGTGTCCCAAACACGACTGCCGATACCGACGGTGCACACCAGACCGGCCGAGGGGTCGCGGAAGGCGACGTTCTTGGCAATGTCATTGACGGACGCGACAACACCACGGATGGTAGCCGCGTCGTCGTCACTGATGGGTTTGTCGTCCTTGACGGCCACGACCAAGAAAATGGCTGAAGCGGTCAAGGGTGCATCGACGCGTTGGGGGTGGGGTTGCGATGCCATGGCGGGACGTCGTCGCCCGGGGCGGACAGCTGTCGAGGAGAATGGCTGGGAAGCGGACACTCTTTGTGTCAAATGTAGCGGTACGATCAAAGCTTGAGATGGCCGTAGCCAAGAGCGTCCTATGCGTAGTCGTGCAGCGCGAATGGTCACGACAGTCGTCATGCTTTGTGGGAGAAGTGAAGGACGGAAGCCAATTAAACCAAGGCAAGTGAAAGTGGGCAGACTCTCTTGTCAGCATTCCAATGGCAAGTAAATGCGCACGTCTCGTAATCTGGCGTGACATGACCGTGGAGTTCGCTGACACATGCGGGGCTCAACCAAGCTACATCCGTTGCACACATTTCAAGTAAGCTGATTGGATGAGGGTTTTTGAGCAAATCGGAAATGTCTCGGTATTTCCTTTTCCACGCAATATGTGATGAGAATTGTTTGTGTTGATTCTACGACATATCGAAACAACCCATAACCTGACGAGTCCATATTTCTCAGCCACTCCGCCTCGAATCTGTTCCGTTGTCGATTTTTACCCCATATTTGTTAACTATTCCCTGTACCAGTGCCCTTACAGCGCCTGAACGTGTGAATGCCGAGGCTGCGTCATGTCTCGGAAACATATCGGCATTCACACGTCAACACGCATTGCGACGCCATAATGACAACACAAGTATACAGCCATTACCCTCCAGCATGATTCGTCCACTCAATCGTTGTCCGACAGTATCGATCCGTGCAGTGGGTTCTGAACATCATGTCCTCCCCTGCCCGAGGCAAACGCCACGTCGGATGCACCAGCTGCAGCCATTGCCTGTCGGTGGGCTTGGTGATGGGCCCCGTCTGGCTGGCAAACTGGAAGTAAATTGTGCCTGTCTCATGGTCCTTGGCCCAGGAGTATATGGCCGGACAATGCGGACACGCAAAACGGTGAACAGTGTCGTTGCGCATGGAATGGACGGCGCGGACAGTAGCGTCGACCTGGCCGTCCAAGTTGGCGGCGCGGTTGATGCGGTCGCCGAAAAATGCTGTTGCAGGTTGGTCTTGAGTTAGGAATGCACTCTCACTACTGTTGTCACCGCTGTCGTGTCCGCCGGTCTTTGCCCGACACCGGCAGCATGGGGTGTCGGTGTGGCTGTGAAACGCGCCCGCCGCGTACGCCATGTCGTGTCGATTCTCGAAGCAGATGCACTGTCCCGATTCGAAGGGCAGCATGAGTCGAGGGTCGTTGGGGGCAATGTGGCCGCACATGAGCTCTTCAAGAAACTCGTAGTTGCGCTCCAGCCCCTCAATTAAGTCGTGTTTCCATGGCGGCATCCGCACTCTTTCGCCATCGTCAGCTGCATGCATCTGAATCTGAAGAATGGGAATAGCCCAACATTGCAGCACTTCACGCTGGGGTGTCACCAGGAATATTGGGGGTACACCATAAAGAGCACACGGGCTCGCATCTGTAGGTAGCAGGTGAAGCCGGTGTTTGTTGTCGGGTGTCTAGAGCAGTACTGGTGCGTAATAGGACTCGACAGGGGCGGTGCAGACGTCCATCAGTCCCGGCATACCGGGTGAGCCCAAAACCCACCCGAGCGGACCTGCCCACATATGCTGGCACATGCCCACCATACCCTCGGCGCCAATGCAGTGCCGTTTACGGGCAGGCACTTTTGTGGGTGCGCCATGAGGATGCCTGTCGTCTCTCAAACCATGCCGCTGTGCATGGATAAAGACCGTCGTGGGGTGTCTGTCTCGACTGAATCCACAAAATAGTGTCTTGGGTCCTTCCGCCTCTGGATCGGCCAGATACTCTTCGACGGTTGTGTAGGGAAGGCGGGCCATGTGCCGCTCTCCCCACTCTTTCTTTGTACGAGGCACCAAGTCCAGTGTCTTCACTCTGTGAATATCTTGTAGCATGACAAGCGCGTCCACCCGTGCCTTGACACGTTGTGCCAGGTAATGTCGAAGCGATGCACAGGGTCCACAGTAGCCTGTCATGTTGCGCCGCAAGCATTCCAAATAAGGCTCTGTGATGCGCGGGTTCTTTGGTGGCATGGCGTGCAGGGGCAGGACCATACGGCCGTCCATTCGCCAGAGCGGACCCGCTGTGGATGGTCTGGCGGCGGGTTGGTCCGACACAAAGAAGTTATGGAACCGTTTGCACGTCTGGCGCAGGACCATCCTGGTGGCGTAGTTGGTCTGCGTCCATATCAGCAACAGAATTTCGTCGGGAAGGCTGACAAAGGGTAGGGCTGCCCTGTTGTATTCTCGGTAGTCCTCCCATGTGATGTGGGGGGGATGGAGGGCTGTCCATAAAAGAGGGCGGTCTTTTTGTGTGACGCTGCCATTGCCGTGCTTCTTGAGGGCCTCAAAATCAAAACTCTGGAGAGCTGACTGGTGCAGACGTGGCAGTGTCGGCATTGTTCCACATAGCGGAAACACAGGCATCCGCGCCGACTTTTCATATCTGTACAGATCGTCTTCCACCAGCTGCTGAGCTTCCCGCGAGCTGATTGGTTCTGGTTCATGTTGTTTGTAGACCTCCATAAAGCTGTCCAAGCCTTCTGACGAGAACCATTCCTCGCGATCAAACGTGGCTTCAATATATCCCACGCGCTGGGCGCATTCCTGGTATCGACTAAGGTGTATCATTGCGGCACGTATTGTTTGACGATTGCAATACGGCGAGCGCTTTCGTACGGTCTGCGGTGTTGTGGTTGATTTGTATGGGGTGCTTTGTATGTCGCAAAACTATGCGTCGAGGTTTGCCGAGTTTTTGTAAATATAAAACAAATCGATGGGACTATTCATGTAGGAATACTTCGTCCTGGGCAATAAATTGACGAAAGATACATTTATTCACTATAAGTTCAAAAAATGATGGGACTAAAACACATATATACGTCGATTTATCGTAGTGAACTCTGTTTTACGTCAGCGATGTTGAATGCGCGGGATTAGCCATATACACCAGCTCTACACCGCATAGTAAGTTCGACGTCATTTATATTACCTAATCACCAACGGGCGGCTGCAAAGGGACGAGTATCTTGTCGACTGCTTGTTTGGAAAATGAGGAGGAAGCTACTTTGTGAAATGGGCCCGGATTGGGTGCTACAGCTAGGAGGCTCGAGACAATATCCTCGGCGACGAACTTGTGCACACGTTTGAGAAAAACTACACGAGCTTCGATCCCAGTGTCTAAGTGCTGCGCACTGGAACACGGAAAGGCAAGACGGCGTGTCATCTCGGGATGCAAGTTGTCTTACCTTACCGATACAGCGGCGCTTAAACGTGCCAGACATTGTACAGCTGAGAGTACGGCTTCAAATTTGTTTTTTTTTTTTTTTTTTTTTTTTTTTTTTTTTTCGGATTCTTACATTAACGTCGGCAGGTGATGATGGAGTACTCTTTTAGATTCTTTGCAAATACGACAGAGAAGAACATCTGGCAGAAAGTTCACGGCAATTTTGGTAATCTTCTCACTTGATGTCCGTCTGGTGACAGAGTATCGATGCTTCTGGTCGCCTCATTTTCCTTTTCTGTTTCTTGATTTGTCGCTGAATGGAGGCAAAGCAGCCGCTAGTCTCCTGCCTAGTCTTCTAGACATGTACTTGGTAACGTAGGCCTTTTCACCTTCTTTACAACTCATTTCTTCTTCTTTTATCGCTGACGCCACTCTTAACTTCTGAATAAAGGAGTGAACAATTTGGTATTCAATTACATAGCAGCTCAAAAGCCAGCCGTTCATATACATATGTACTGTCAACGATCGGGTCATAACCACAAAATCAAGCGCCACCAGATTTACTCAATCTCGATAATCGCCGGGCCTGCCAGGGTATTGTCGTCGGAGACGGAGGTGTTCGACATGGTGAGCACGACGTAGCTCTGGCCCTCGACGCCCTCGGGAACCATGACGGAGAACCCGGCGTAAACGGACGTGATCTCGACGTAGATGGGGCCGGTAACGGTGATGAAGGCGGCGAAGACGGGGGTGCCGGCTGGGGGCATGTAGGTGGTGGTGTCCACGGCGAGGGTGATGGTCTGGTTCGTCTTGAGAGGACCGGCGGTGGTGACGGAGAGGGCAGGGAAGGCCTTGACGGGCAGGGATGGATTCGTGGACGGGCAGGAGGCGAAGAAGGGGGCGGCGAGGGTGTAGATCTCGTTCAGGGAGAGAGGGTCGTCAAAGGGCTGGGGGAAGGGGGACTCGGTGAGAGCGGCGCGAATGTAGGCGTTGTGGCGCGACTCGACAGTCAGAATCGAGCCGGCGGCGGTGAGGTAGTCCTTGTCGGCGATGGAGGCGGCCGCGCCCAAGTAGGCCGAAACACCGACACCCTCGAGGACGGACGCGAGGGCAACAAAAGACTTGGCATCAGTCGCAGGGAAACCGTAGGTGCACGCGGCAACGGGGGTTGCGCCGGCAGCTGTGTATTTTTGTTAATACAACTTGTTCCAGTCATCATCGTGTGACATTGGTGGTATCACGAAGCATTACGTACCAGAGAGAGCAGAAGTCAAGAAGCTGACGTGGGTAGCCTCGTCCTTGGCGACCTCCACCAGGTTGGCGTAGAAGGGGTCCGCGAAGCCAGCAGCGACAAAGTCCGCCTGAGTGTAGTTCTGGAGGCCCTCCTTGTAGAAGGTAGCCTCGAGGTGCTCCAGAGTGAGTGCATAGTTGAGGATGTCGGCGTCAGTGGCGGCACGCTTGGCGTTCTGCACAGGGGCGGCGTAGGCAGCCGTGGCAGCAAGCGCAGCGACGGCGTAGGACTTCATGGTGAGTGAGGTGGTGGTAGGTGATATGGGGAAAGCTGGGGGGGAGCTGGAGACTGGAGAGAGAGTCTTCTGGATGATGGTCAAAGGGATATTTGAGAGGAATGGAGATCGTATTTTGATTCCTGTTTCATCCTGATAAGTAGCAGCTCCCTCGCATTATATAGCCAGACAAACAAAATTCAAAGCCAACCCCAAACCCAAATCCAAATCGAAACAGGTCGCCGTCATCATAGAAAACAACTTGTTCGGTAAGTGCCACTACCGACTGACACTTCGTGCCTCTCGACCATGACCGCATTCATCCTCGCATTTGTCCGCCACACATATTGGAAGCAAAATTATCCATCCTTACAAAGCCACCGGCCCATTTGTTTCTCCACCACGACGTGCAGGAAAAGGCGGTAGGTGGCCGGTCCATCCGCTGCAAGCACCGATCACCACGATCGTCGTCACTGTTTATTATCATTGTCCTCTCGGCAACCTTTCTATCCGTGAGGAAGGTCTCCAGGCCTTGAGGAGTGGCAATAAGTTCTCTAAGAGTAGTCAATGGGGTACGGAGCCATGTGCACGATGCAACCAAGACGAACCTGATATGCAATAAACTCTTCCGAATGACGAGCACTCGGCCCCGGTCTTGTTGACCACAGAGGTGCCATCCTCGATCCAGTCTAGTGTGCCGGATGCCCCAAAACCCGAGCACGAAGCCTTCCCAGCAAGGTCAAAACGACAGTGACGATCTGCCCTCTTCGGGCTTAGACACAGCCTGAGGATTCCTCCATTTGGAACTGCAAGTCAAGCTTGTCACGGTCTGCACCTCTTTTGGGCCATTGGGAGTCCACCTCGCTGACCAACTGGTATTTGTTGTCTACTTGCTCGGTTGTTTGATTACTGCCTGCACACAAACCTTGGAAAAAGCATGGAATTCATGGCGAAATGGCCAATATCGGTCTAGCGTGCGAGCGCGTCAACAAACAACATGCTACTGAAAGGCGCTAGTACGGCGTAATCTACCTGAGTCTCAAGGAAAGTCACAGGAGGAGAGGAGCTACCGCAGCTACAGGAGCGTCCTGAGAACGAGATCTTGCGTAAAGGAACTCGAGAAAAAAGAAGCATCATCTAACAAAGTTTGATGTCAGCTTCCTGAAAAGTCTTGACAATTCCTGAAATTTCTGAGAATTCCTGAGAATTTCCGAGAAGAATGTGACAAAGACAGGAGCATCGGACGAGGGGAGCTTGAGGCAACAATGCGGCCTGCAGAAAGGCAAAAAAGTTCCGACTTTTCGACCTGGAACCCTAGAAACTCACAAATGCCGAACGGAATCATTGCCATGAGCTCTCTTTCCTGCATGCAAGAAACTCCATCCCATCTCACGGAAACTCTCTGGCCGCGGGCTCCGATGGAGGCGCAGGTGTGCAAGCTCCAAGCTGCGTCGTATTGGGCTTCGGATGCGAATGGTTCCGGGCGTCAAGCAGGTTCTACGAAGTATTGCTGCTAACGCAATGGAGTGCTAGCTCAGCTAGTCAGCCTCAATGCCTCTACGTCTTACACCACGAGATGGACCAAAGACTCCGAGAGCGATTTGCTTTCGCGCTAGAAAGGAAACAAGGAAACATGCAATTTACGTAGAAATAAGACAACAATACCGGATGGATATATTTATCGTTCGGGCTAGGTCGCATGTCTTGTGTTAAAGCTCAGAAGGGTGAGACCTCCTACTACGCTGCAAGCGTACGATGTCTTACGTGACAGTGATTCGATTTGAATTTTAAGACCTACGCTACGCCCTTCGAGCTCATGGTCGGGCGGGGTGAGAGAGTCCTCCGAGAGAGTCGGAGTCAGAGAGTCATGGAGTTTTTTACAGAGTAGTCTTATCTACAAGTTCAAATATCCCATTCGCCGGCGCTAACAGCAGTAGCTGAGCACGGTCATAAGCATATGGCTTCAAACATGTGTTTTCTTGCTTGTTCTCGTGTGTTTATTGTCTTTTGTTTCGCAGTCGTCCTTCTTAGTCTGTCTCGGCTCCATTTCGAGTAGGCCATCACCGTCCTTGACGTGCGCCGCGGGGTAACAGGAAGGTCCCAGACAGACAGCCTCGCAGAAAACCAACAAAACGACATGTAACGAGAGTACAGGCGTAGACGGCACCACGAGTACGGCCGCCAAAATTGATAACTACGAAAACGACGGCAGCGGCGACGAATTGGCCGTTGTGATCATGCATGGCGGCGACAGCGACAACGCAGCCGTCGTTCTCCAGTTCAACGGCAGGCTGATGTGCGTATCGGTGACCGACGGCGACCCGCTAAGTGAACCACCCAGTGACCCGCTAAGCAACGCCGGGCAGCAGCTCTCTCCGGAAGGCCGGCTCATCCACCTGATCAACCAGACGATGGCCGCCGAAGTTAACGAAGATCCTGGCAGCTACGGGAAGCTGGAGGATGAGATACTCGCCGTGGTCCTGGCTGTCGGACGAGCCAAGTTTCGGCAGGTCGCACCTCTCGCGCCGAGCCAGACGACGAGCAGCGCTAGCGACAGGACAGCTCTTCACGAGTTGTTGTATCCAGAGGGATCCGCGACTGGGCCGACGCAGACTTGGCGGAAACCATGGAGGGCGACAAGCAGACTGTGAGTAAGAATCGACCAACTGTTGGGGGCGACGTGCCCCTCGGTTGGTGGATTCCGCGTGCGCATTTCGTCGATCGTCGATCTGCGGCTTTTGATTGGCATAAATAGAAATGGACATGAAAGATTTACTTTCATGAGTTGAAACAGTACGGCTACGCCCGCCCCCCCTTGAACCCCCGGTCAGGTGCTATTCAATCAATCGCAGTGTTACTCTAGCTTAGGCTATTTTACTCGCTGCCTAATCAAAACGGATCTCCTAATATTTTTAATTTCTAAACAAGACGCAAGACGACCAACACACATGGTCCTGTATTGTGAACGTTGGTCCCCGCCTTTCTCCTCGCTCTGTGTCGTATTGTCTCGTCTTTCAGCCCGTACAGGATACTCAATCTAGCCAAAAGGGATCTTTCTGTCACTCGTTCAGACTTTATGGACATGAGATCTTCTTTAACGATGCAGCTTCTGGCCAGAACATCTCTGCCCCCGGCGACATCGGTGTCGTCCGACGAACCAGTGGCGTTTCAGAATTTTGTGGCCAACGACACGTACATTGTCGTATGTCTCTCTAATGCCACTGTCCACGTTCTGTCGAGCGTGACGGGGGCCTTGCTGCAAGAAACGCCCTTTGTCCATCCGGCCGGCTATGTTTCTCGGCCGATTCTGGACGGCGACACGATCATCATGTGTTCACCAAGCGACGTGAATCTTACCGTTTACAGCATTCCACAACAGTGAGCTCCCCGTATTTCCTCTCTCGGCTCGAGTCCATGTCAATGTCTAACGGAGGCGGTGTAGAGTCGTTGCCTGCACCTTGAGCTGTCCGGACCCGAAACCCATTTTCCTCCTGACGCCGCTGCATCTCACCAAAGACGACTGCGTCGTCGCCGCGATCCATTTCGACGGGTCCCTCTGCGTGTGGGACGTGCGGACGCGCGCGCATCTGTACACGGCGAAGCTGCACAGCGATGTTGCCTTTTTCCGCACCGTGGTCGGCAAGACGCTCGTCACGTCTTCGGCCGACTGGACACGGGTGGTCAGCAACTGGGAGACGGGGGCGGTGCTGTGGAAAAGGACATTTGGCGAGCCATACAACCCGCGTAGAAAGGGCAAGCTGCTCGGCATTGCGGCGTATGCCCAGACGGCGTGCAATGGCAAGATTGTTGCCGGGACCACCGACAGGCGGCTGTTTGTCTTTGACTTGGAGACGGGGTGAGCTGGTTTTGACGCTACGTGGCGATCGAACACGCTCATGCTAACACTGACTGTCCACAGACACCAGCTGGCTGAATGGCAAGCCGCGGACAGCATGACGCAGCATTTACTTGTTCAGGGCAACCGGCTGGTCCAGTTGTCCTGGGGCGAGATGAAAATCTGGTCGCTCTCCGACTATAGTCTTGTGCATAGGGTGCGCATGTTCGACCGTGTGGCGACGTCTGTGGCCCTGAGCAGACAGTCAGTGATCTGCTGCGGCCGAGACGCCTCAGAGGACAACGACAGATGCGGGCTGCACGTTGGCATCAAGGACTGGACGTTTGGAGAAGAACAGGCAATAGACAGCGGACAACCAGACACGCCGGAGACCGACAGATCCAAAGGATGCGGCACGGATGTCTTCAATATAGGTCCGCCCCTGAGAAACGCCGGAGACCTCCAGGTCCTGAGCGGTGACCGCCTCGTTCTCAACGTCCTGCGAGGAAGTGTATGGTCGGTTGAGATATGGCAGTTGTGAGGGGACTATATAGGGGAGTAGCAATGTTAAAGAGAGATGTACTAAATCAATATATACGTTGATTTATCGTAGTGAACTCTGTTTTACGTTGGCGATGTTGAATGCCATATGCACTGCATAGTAAGTTTGATGTCGCTCATATTACCTAATCACCAACGGACGACCCGTGTGTTTATATTCTCTGCTCTTCATGATAAATTTATCATTACACATGTTCCATTTTCTAAACATTCACGCATGTGCCATCATTCGTTCCTGCTGTTCTGCGTTGGCCAGCAACATCGACTTGGCCGGCAGGTCGGGCGTTCCTCCTGCAAATGCCGCCATTGCCCTTAGTGCTTGTGCTGATATTCTTGTTGGTTTCTGTAAAATCAAGTGGTGTGTGACCAGCGTCGCGTTTCGGTAGTACGCTGCCGCTATGCCAGCAATCGGCGACTCGGCCTCGGTCACCATTTTGTGGCGGACGGCCAGTGCAACGACGGCGTTGACAAGAGCAAATGCAGGTGCAGAGGAGGTGGGCGGTATTGTTGCAGGGACAGCGGCAAAATAACCATATTGGCGGTCCAAGAGATTGAGAAGTTCGGAGAGTTCTCCAAGAAATGGCAGTACTCGCCTCATCTCTTCGTACGAGTTTTGCAACAGCCGCCGAGCAATGGTATGGGGCATCATAGCTGTAAACGGTGTCGATGCTGTGTTGGCTGCTTCAACACTGGACTGCACCAGTTTCATGTGTGATTCAAATGCGCCGGGAAGAAGGAAGCTAGGAAAGTGAGACGAGGATGCATTGCCATCGGTGGCCTCTACACGAGAGACATTCGGTCGAAGAACTTGTAACGCAGAGTCGAGAATCGATAAGGGTATACCAGGCGGTAATGTTGCAGTCGATTGCACGTAGTCTGGTCCTGACAATAATACTTGTTTGGTTGATGATACTCTCGAAGCAAGTTCGGAATGCATTGCCCCCGCCAGCGGTAATCCGGCATTGCGTTTCTCTGCTCCTTTCGGTTTCCTATTGTGACTGTTAGATAACTGCTCTTACGGAAATGCACAGAGGCAAAACAACTCGCCAATGGAACAAGAAACTCGCTTCTTTCCTTTGCCCCGATACTGGCGGGCCGTGGCATAGACGCAGGCGGTGCATCGTGACGCACAATGCCCGCATTGCGGCGTGGCCCCGTCACAGCGGATCTTACGTGCCTTGCATTGCATGCACGCCTGGTATGTAAGTCGTTATTGTCTGTCGGCGAGCAGTTACGAATAGGATCTTGACTGACAATAAAGATTCGGTTCGGCCGGGGCATGTTCGGTAGTCGATCTGGTGGACTTTAGTATCGGTACACGGACAAGAATAGTCAGAGGGCAGCGAGCAGATTGCTTCCGAAAACCCAAATTCGTCCCGTCATGGCGCTGTCTTTATATCTGCTTCCGTGAACTCACCTTGCTCGTGACCGCGTGTTGCTGCATGCGATCTGTTAGCTGCAAATTTGCATCCGAGTTTTGTCAGCTTGGGTGATGTCACCAATATTTGCTTCCGATATCTCCACTTATTTTGCTCCCACCTTTGAACGTCTCCGCTTTTCTCAATGCGGCACGTACCGGTGTTAGTGGGCACCAGTGCGTCGATTTGCTTCCGTTGTGTCAAAACACATTATCAATTATCAAGGGTATTTAAAGGGGTTTGATTCAAATTTTTATTTACGGATGCAAATGGTAATTCAATGGGCGCGAAGTATAATGACCTCGACACGTTTATAAGATACGCATTGCCTCGATACCGTAGCATACCTCTCTTGCATCTTCAGTCGCTCCTTTAACAGCTTTACTTACCACAGCCCCGCGGTCCAGCTTCATCTAAACATTACTTTCTTCTCCGTTCACATTATTTTTTGAATTTCTTTTCCCACCTCTGCAATATGGACGCCGTCGCCCGGGGCCTTGGCTCACTTGGCACCAATCCGCCTCTCGGTGTCGAGTCTGCGCTCTCGGTGAACGGCTCTGACTGGCTTTGGGCTGTCACTTCCATCTATGTTGCGGCCTTCCTCGGGCTTCTCGTCTTCTGCTTCACCACTCCCGAGGCCGACCGCGTCTTCCACTACTTGTTCACGTGCGCCCTGCTTGCAGGCTCTGTGACCTACTTCGCACAGGCTTCGGATCTCGGCTGGGTGGCCGTGGACGGTCGCCAGGCCTTCTGGGCCAAATACGTCAATTGGGTCGTCTCTTTCCCCTCTGCCGCCCTGGCCCTGGGTCTTCTGTCCGACGTCTCCTGGACCACCATCTTCACCAATGTTTTCATATGCTGGCTTTGGGTCGTCACCTACTTGGTCGGCAGCTTTGTCTCCACGGACTACCAATGGGGCTTCTTTGCTTTTGGCACACTTGCCTGGGTGATCCTGGCCATGAGCACGCTCAACGAGAGCCGTGAGGCCGCTGCCCGTTCTGGAATGACACGTGACTACATGCTGCTGGCGGCCATCGCCAACGTCGCCTGGCTGCTGTACCCCGTAGCCTGGGCGATCGGTGTGGATGGACACGGCACGATCGGTGTGACAGCCACGTTCGTCTTTGTTGGCGTGCTCGACTTGATCCAGATGCCGCTGTTCGCCTTTGGCTTTGTGTTACTGTCTCGCAAATGGAACTATGCCCAACTCAACCTGGACGTCAGCGAGTCACGCAGTGGCTGGCGCGCTACTCATACCAGAGCTGAAGGACAGGCCAAGACCGTCGCCAGTCCGGGGGCCATGCCGCTTGAAGATACCTCTGCGTAAGCAGTCCGCATGCAACACAACAATGTGACAGGTCGAGCATCTCCAGGTATCCCGTTGCTCATAGAGCAGCACGCCGCGTCATAGATGTCCAGAGTTCGTGTCTGCTTTTGTTTGTATCACTTTGTTCAGTGAACTTGACTTAATGTCAACTTTTCTTGGATGTTTCATAACTGTCCATTACCTGTTGTTGACTTTGGATGGCATTATCTCCTTCGTGACTTACGTTCATTTATTTTGTCTAGTTTAAATGTATTTTTTTTCATGTTCAAGTTCAGATCATTTTTCATTTATTGTAATTATTTATAATATTTTTTATTACCAGCGTTTTATTTATCTTTTCCGACTGGGCCAAGATATATCCACTTCCACAAAAATTAAATAAACAGCAACGAACAGTACACATAATATTGCCGTTTGTAAACTACTCTGCAGAGACCCACACAGCACGTAGTAATAACCAGCTGCAGTTGCAGGCCATGTGTTCTTTTTGCAAGTTTGAGATGGTCACCC